TAAATTTAGGAAAAGATTTTGGAATCCATTTGATGAGTTGAAAGCATTTTTAAATATCTAACTCTCTTTCTTCTAAACTCCAGTATAATATTCAGATTAGAACATTCACAGCAACAAAGGAAGGCCAGACATGGGCATATCCCTCTAAATGTTCCCCATGGGAACAAAAGGCAAAATACACTATAATTTTGGGTACCATCGGAACTTCTGAAGTACAAGGAGCATGGGGAAGGATAGAGGGAGGCAAAGGGAAAACAATGCATATAAAGAAGCAGGTGAGGGGCGCCTGGGTGGCTCAGTCGGTTGGGCATCTGCCTTCGGCTCAGGTCATAATCCCGGGGTCCTGGGATTGAGCCCCGCATTGGGCTCCCTGCTCCGCGGGAAGCCTGCTTCTCCCTCTCCCACTCCCCCTGCTTGTATTCCCTCTCTCACTGTGTCTCTGTCAAATAAATAAATAAAAAATCTTAAAAAAAAAAAAAAGCAGGTGAGCTCTCCAGTGTAATACTGAATAATAGTAGAAGAATTAGGTTTAATGCTTCACTTCCCCCTACACACACACACACACACACACACAAAATGATGAGATCTTTGGAAATAAAACTCAGCATCACCTAACAAGTCCTTTCCCACACACACTAACAATCTATTTTTGTATTCCAGGGAGATTTGCAGCAAAGAATGCAGCTCCAGTAAAAAGAGGAAATAATTTCTATGCTGTACCTGGGTTTTTCTCACTTCCTTATTTTAAAATAATCACCCAACAAATTAAAAAAAAAAATCCAGAACAATAGTACAGTGTTCTATGCACTGAGTATATATCACCGTAGACATTTTGGAACTAAACAATCAATTCAAGTGTTCGGAGTAACTTGCCATCTTCTTGGAAAACTTATAATGATATATTACAGTGCTGGGGGTTGGAAGAAACCTTCCAAATCATGTGGCCCAACCCCATCATTTTACAGATGAAGATCTTGGGAAGCAAGCTGCCTGCTCCAACACACTAAAGACTCTAATTAAAACATCTGCTCCATTTTAAGGTAGCTGACAAATTTGGAGAGGGGGTGGGAAATAAAATAAAACCTCCAAAACACTTTTTAGTGGAAGAGTAATTCATTATCAAATGAAGCAGCAGTAAGGATTGTGATGGAAGTATAACCCTACTCTAATGTCAGGACCATTTACTTCTGGAAAACTGAGATTAAAAGTTGCCAGAGCTCACACATCGAATCTGTGAGTAGAGGCAGGGAAGAGAACTCAGAAACCCAGCCCTGAAGTCTGTTGGCCTAAGCACCAAACACTGGCCTAATTTTATACCTAAACTGACAGGTATACAGGAGTCACTCTGATGTGATGGTGCCTCTACTTCCAGAAAAATGGAGACTGGAGAAAATGGTCCACACACTACAGAGAGACATGACCACTGACCTGGCAAAGGAAGGGGGGCTGAGACCCTTGCTCACATACTCAATGGACCCTTGATCAGCAGCATCAGCATCACCTGGGAACTTGTTAGAAATGTGGAATCTTGGGCGCCTGGGTGACTCAGTCGGTTAAGCGTCTGTCTTCAGCTCAGGTCATGATCCCAGGGTCCTGGGATCGAGTCCCGCATCGGGCTCCCTGTTCAGCGGGAAGTCTGCTTCTCCCTCTGCCCCTCCCCCCTGCTCATGATCTCTCTCTCACACTCTCCCTCTCTCAAATAAATAAATAAAATTAAAAAAAAAAAAAAAAGAAATGCTGAATCTTGGGCCCCACCCAGATCTACGGAGTCAGAATGTGCATATACTGACAAGATCCCCACGTCCTCCTGAACATAGGAAAGTTTGAGAATCGCTTGTTTAGATAATGTAGCAGCAAAAGAAGTATAATAGACTATCTATAACCCCATTTACTTTAAGTTTCTGGAATAATTACCTTATTACCAGCTCTGCTCTCTAAAGCTTTTGATCTTTAAGCTTTAAGTTTTAAATGTTCTAAAATTTAGCCTAAATTTCAAATGGTCTCAGTGAGTATCTTATCGAGTAGTCATGTTTTTCCAAAAGGTACCTCAATGTTAAGAAAAAATACATATATACAAATATGCTGGGAGCTTAACCATTTTTAAAGATTACATAGATTACAACTTGAGGTCTTCTTTTCCTGCTACTTTCTGCTGAGGTCATAGTAGGAACATGACCAATATTTCTTCAGGGGAAAGTTAGAAACCCCAGGGAGACCTGGTGAAGGAGGAAGACTAGATTCACAATAGAAATGTGTTCCTGGGGGCGCCTGGCTGGGTGGCTTAGTCTGTTAAGTGTTTGACTCTTGATTTCAGCTCAGGTCATGATCTCAGGGTTGTGGGATCGAGCCCCGTGTCAGGCTCTGCGCTCAGTGCGGAGTCTGCTTGGGATTCTCTCTCTCCTTCTCTCTCTGCGCCACACCCCCCACCAAATAAATAAATAAAATCTTAAAAAAAAAGAAAAGAAAGAAGAAATGTGTTCCTGGTGAAAAAGAGGAATTTAATGTAAGGGAATTTTATGGTCAAGAGGCTGTGAAGGTCACACGGTCCAGCCACAGCTCCAAAGCTGAATCCCTTTAGGCCACATCAACAGTCTCCACTCACATATTTCCAGGGTTGTGGAACTCACCACCTCCAAAGGCAATCTGTTCCATCTTTGCACACTCTGTTAGAAAGGTTTCCTGAAATTTGTCTCCCTATAACTTTCAACAACCCTACAATCAGTAACCCCATAATTATTGTCCCTACCATTAATTCAACCCTGTTATCAATTTTCCATTACATTTCCCACTGGGATTTTCTTTCTTAACACAGAAAGTCAAAGATACAAGTCTCATGTATTTATGTATTTATTTCAATGAGACTAGGGCATGTTGTAGTAGAGGGGTGTATGAAAATTTTATTTTTTGCTTTTATTTGAGGCACCTTAGGAAAACCTCATGTGTACAAGGAAAGTATTAAGATAAATTATCACAAGTTATAGAGAATATAACTAAGGGTATAATCATATCAAAAACCTAGTTTGGGGTAGTACTGTTCTTAAACACTGTTTTAACCCTAAGCTTCCTGGGAGTCAAAGCAGGTATGAAATGGTGAAAAGAAGGTGATGCTTCGGAAATGTCTGAGACTCTCTGGCCTTGGGGAATCATAGGTTATCAACCCTGGATAGTGTCTTAGATCAAGTCTTATTCTGGCCTCTCACAGAGAAGGAAACGGAAACCCAAAGAGGATAAGTGACTTGCCCAATACCGGGCACCTAGTTAGCACCATGGAGTGTGCCTACCGCTAGTCAATGCTCTGTTTGGCACACTGCCAGGCTCTGAGTCTGGAGTTTGTTAAGGAAGTTTGCCCAGCATACAAACCAGAGATACAGCAGCACATTACTGGGCCGACCAAGGGCAATGGCTATGGGTACCTGAAAAGCAAACCTAAGCCATCCTGGCTCACACAGACCCCTCAGGTCCCAAAGTCTGTAAGTCTAACACCAGATAAGAAAGTTATATTGGCGCCGTAAGCCATCCTTCTTCCTTCTCTTTTCTAGAACTCCATTTGTCCCTACCAACCCATTCATTCTGAACTGCAGAGTTTCCACTAAGAAGCTTATTTTAATCTCCCATTAAAATAATCTCTTTCTGATGACAGGTTATCTGTTCTCAGAACAGAAACACCACCGTGAAACACTTCATTCTTTTGGAAACCCTTGAAGCTAAAGGCTCATAGCATATGGAGCCAGAGTCCTTAGTAAAAAGTAAATGATTCTTGATCGATTTACCCAGGCATCTAAACACTGGGCTCACTGAAACAATACTAAAAGAATCCCTTCTATCATGTATTTTTTTTTAATAACACCACTGGAATCACAGACCTGTTCCCCTGAAACAAATAATACATTATATGTTAATTAAAAAAAATTAAAAAAAAATAACACCACTGGAATATTTTAAAGAACAATCTGTCAGATCATGCAGCGTAAGATGCCAACACGTGACAATATATGCATGGAGCCCTGAATGACGGGCTGGTGGGTCACAGGGGCCTGCCCATGAGATCATAATGGACCACAGCAGGGACATAAGCCCATCCGCAGACATAACTACTTGTGTTTCAGTTCTTTGTAAGTTTAGGCAGATCAAAACTCCCTCAAAGCAATGAAGAGCAATCATGCAGGATCGGATTATGTGCTTTTTCTATCACTGTGTTCTTCTGAAGTAAAAAAAAAAGCAAACCCTAGAAGAATCTCTTATCCAGGTGACACATCTTTTATATTAACACTAGTCATTTATATCACAAATTAGCCAGGATCCCACTATGTTAAGAAATCTGGTCATATTTATTGGTTTAGAGCAGCCTATTGCTGGATAAAAGAATCGAGGAAGCTACATCAGCTTTTTAAGCTCAGTGGGAATTAGTGAATTCTTGATTCAGTTCATCAGATGAGATGGGGTGGATGAGCCCAATTAAGGCCCGAGTCCCAGCAGGGATAATTGAGCACCGTTAAATCAACCCATAACTGTCCAGGCTTCTTGGCTGGCATCAGGTATGTAAGATCTCAAATGGCGAGAGAACAGTGATAAACACAGAGCCCACTCATAGCCCACAGTGAGGCAAAAATAGAAAGCAAAAGAGGAAGAAGAGCTGTGACATGCCTCCATCCCAGAACGCATCTTCCGCTACTGTTCATCAGAGTGTATGTCACACTTCCTGGGGCCACTGAAGTCAGGAGCCCTGGCAGAGGGGACCAGAATCTTCCCACTTTAAAAGGAGAAACAGGGCAAAAGACAGAAGCTCAGCTACTGGGAAATAGAGAAGAGGGGTATTTCTCTATAAACACGTTGTCCAAAGTGACACATTTTTCCACAAAAATCTTAAGGGCCCTGATGATAAAATGGAAGCGGCTCACAGGTTTGAAAGCCGCCTCACCTGAAACACTTGTGGCCTGGATGAGTCTTTTTTTTTTTTTTTTTTAGGGCTTGCTTATCTTTCCTTGAGAAGACACCCTTACCTTCGGAAATGGCCTTCTTCACCGCTGCCACGTAAGTCTCGGGCTCGTCGTCACAGGTGAGCTCCTGCCAGTGCACCCAGTCCGGAAAGTAGTCCAGGAACTCCGGGCCGTCCTGCACCCCGCAGAGCAGCCGCACCATGCGCTGGGGAGGGTGGAAGGCTCTCTGCAGCAGGGGCAGCAGGGCCGGCTGGCAGAAGCACCGCACCAGCTCGGCAGACAGCAGCACGACGACGCAGCGGGAGCTCAGGAAGAAGTTCAGGTCCTTGGCCGAGAAGGAGGCGTCAGGGCTCAGCCTGTAAGTCAGCGTCTTCTGGCTCCGCACCTGCCGACTGGACAGAAAGAGGTCCTGGAGGTATTGGCACCACTCCTTGGCATCCGGGCCGTAGACGAGGAGGATGTCGCATCTTCCAACCGCCCCTGAGCAGGAACAAGGCAGAGAAGAAGCATGTTAACACACCTGCGCCTTCTGGGGCTCACACGACCTGCACGACAAACCATCCAGACGGGGGTCCTGGCCCCCACCATCTTGACAGAGCTGTCAAACCCTTCCCCTGCTTCCAGGCTCTGGTCCAGCCATACCTGTCTCCCTGCCTCTGCCCCAAGATGCCATGCCATTTCAGAACTTTACATAAGCTGTCACTTCTGCTGGCATGCTCTTCCACCCACAGCTGACGCCGGATACGATGACGATGATGATGATGATGACAGCAACAGCAAGCACCTTATATAGAGCTTACTATGTTCCAGATGCTCTTCCAAGCACACTGCCTAGTAAGCCCATTTAATCGTCGCAGCAACCTGATAAGGTAGAGAATACTATTAGCCCCGTTTGAAAGACGAGAAAACGGAGGTTTGGCAGGGTACATAATTTACCCGTGGTGACAGAGTCAGAATCTGAACTCAGACACTTTGGCCCCAGAACCTGGCTCTTTCCCAAATACAGTGATTATAAGCACAGGTACTGAATCAGGTGGCCAGAGTTAGCATCTTGGCTCTGTGAATTATTAGCTGTGTAACCTTAGGCAAGTTACTTAAATATTCTAAACCTCAGTTTACTCATCAGGAAATGGAAATATAATGGCAATATTTATCAGTGTTTTGTGAGCATTAAATTAGATATTTCAGGGGCACCTGGGTGGCTCAGTCGTTAAGCGTCTGCCTTCGGCTCAGGTCATGATCCCAGGGTCCTGGGATCGAGCCCCACATCGGGCTCCCTGCTCGGCGGGAAGCCTGCTTCTCCCTCTCCCACTCCTCCTGCTTGTGTTCCCTCTCTCGCTGTCTTTCTCCGTCAAATAAATAATTAAAGTCTTTAAAAAAAATTAGATATTTCATATAACGTGCTAAGCACAGCGCTTGGCATGTGGTAAGCTCTCAGTAATTGGTATCTGGAGTCCTCATCCACACAGTAAGAGAAACAATGCATGAATGTTAGCAGCAGCTGTGGGTGACTTAATACTTTGATCTCCGTAATACCATTGGGAGGGTGTCCCTCACCTCACCTGTGCTGGGACATAGGCTTTCTTCTTCTCATAAAGCATAAGTGCCAGAAACAGTCCAAAGCCTCAGAGAAGCAGTGAGTTAAAAAGAGCTTCGGGGGATCACTTGGCCCAAACTCCTCATTTACAGATAAAAGAAACATTTCATCTGGGAAGATGAAGGGACTCAAATTCACACTCAGCAAACTAGTCACTAAGCCGGGACTGAACCTCAGGCTCGTCCCCTGGTCCCCTGTGCAGTCCCCCCAGCAGTCCACCTGCTACCTCCCATCAGGGATTCGGTCAAGAATCTTACGAGTAATAAAGCATATCTTCCAATTATCAAAGTTCAAAGAAGCTTGGCTCTTAACACACCTGTTACTACTGTTAGAGGAGGCTTCATCTCCCACCAGCTCAACAAACTGTCCTTCGTGCCTTGGAAGGGGTGAGCGCAGAGGAGTCTCCACACGTCGGCACAATACAATAGGGATCCTTCCTCCCACTCAAAGAAGGAAGCTGCTCAAGTCTGGTGAAGCTTGGGAATCATGAAAGTTGTGGATTGTCACAATTAAACACCACCCCTGGACCACATTTCACTGAGTAGTTCCTAGCAAAAAGGTTGGAGGCAGGACTGGGGGTCAAGACCTGAGGCTGTAAACTCTGAAAACATCATGGGAGGACTCCCCCTTCCTATCCCATCTTCCACCATATTCAAAGTAAAAACAATGACATATAATATGTAAACCCAACACAGTTCTGATTTCCCCAGGGATAATATTACCAAATTTTTAAAAACAGCAAATAAAAAAAAGTTTGGAGTTTCTTTTTGGAGTCTCTGTTTTGCTGGAGCCCTAATCCAGGGCTAATATAAAACCCAACAGGCTCTCAGTAGGAGCACATTGAACAGCCAGGGAGTGCTTTAGAAGGGGAGGTGTGCAAATTTTAAAAGAAATCAGTTTTAGAAGGTAATATGGGGTGGGGGGGGAGGCAATCAGCAATTCTGATGATACCACGGCCTTCGTGGCTCTGCAGAAAACTCAATTCTGAGCATGGTCTAGTTCAACTGTGACTAAAACAGTCCATTTTAGGCTGCTTACACTGGTCCCAAAGTTTAAGCAGATTAAAGGCAAAATTTTAATGTATGGAAGGCAGTGTTGCAGCCTTCCATAAAATAAAATCTTTGCTGATCTCCGCGCCGCCCCCCCCCCGCCCCCATGTAACAGTTCTTTGTACTTCAATGGAGAAATAATTTCAGGACTATGGAAGGAACAAGATTGGCCAAGCAACACAACTATGGAGCTCATACTGAGAAAAGTAGAGTTAAGGCATCAGAATATGTTTACCTTCTTTCTGCCCCTCTTTTCTACATAGTTGGTTTATCCTCAGAGGTGAATGTTCTTCTAAATGTAAAGTGTTAATGCACATGAGTGTGCATGAGCTTGGCCCACCAGGTAGGCAATGTACAAGACTTTATAGTGCATTATAATAGTAAGGGTGTAATGTTAGCAATCTGTGCTTAGAATTCAGTTAAAAGTGCAAAAGTAAAAAGCAGTAGCCACCAACACTCCCTACCTATACCAACAAATATACTAGCAAATAACATGTCAACAATTTTTACAAATGGGCTGGAAGGAGAATAAGATCTCAGAGAAGGCTGGCTGTGGTCCCACACGTTAGTGATGAAGCCATTGGGGATGTTTTCTTTCTTTCTTTTTTTTTTTAAAGATTTTATTTATTTATTTGACAGAGAGAGATAGCGAGAGCAGGAACACAAGCAGGGGGAGTGGGAGAGGGAGAAGCAGGCTTCCCGCGGAGCAGGGAGCCCGATGTGGGGCTCGATCCCA